GGGGAGATGTGCGCTGACACGGACACCACTTTGGTCGCCGGAGCTTGGGAGGACGGCACAGGCACGAGGATAGACACACCTCCCGAGAGACCCGGGGACAATGAATCCCAGCTTCCAGGCTGGATGGGGAAGACCCCACAGGACACCCCCAAACCGGTAGCCTGTCCGACCCTGTGCACACTGGGGGCAGTGTGCACTTGGGCTGAACTCTGTGTCCAGAGTGGACGCTACCTGGCTGGGGCGTGGCCATGGGGGACAGGATGGATGGGAGGGGCTGAGGGTAAGGTCCTTGGGGTGGGCAGGGGCGGCTGGGCCCACAAAGGCGGCAGGTCCATGGGGCAGGGCCAGACTCACGGGGGCAGAGGCGGGCCAGGAGGGATGTTCCATGGGGCTGTGGCCTTGGCCTTGGCTGGCAGCTCCCCTCCCTACCTCAGACACTCAGGGGGAGGCAGGACTGCTGTCCACGCTTGGAGGGGACTCTGGCATCATCTGAGCCAGGAACCTACCCAGAAGGCACTGGCAGTCATCAGATACCAAACGTCCAGTGGCAGGGGAGCCTGTGTCTGTGATCCCTGCCCATCCCCCTCCGTCCCTCTAACTTCAGGGCCCAACGGCCAGGATGAAAGCGGTGGTGCCCTCCCTGCCACACGCCCTTGAGGTGGGAGCCACGGCCATGCTGCATCAGCACTCTCTCTGGCCGGCTGGACTGCTGCAAGGATGCACGTGAGAGCGAGTCTAGACAGCCAGTTATTTATTCCAGCCCCGTGAGAGTGGCCCTGCTGAGCCGGCATCTGTGCCACTGCGCCGACCAAGGTGAGGCCGGGTGGCATCGTTCGGCAGGGCGGGCAGGGCAGGAGCTACCAGCCATCCAGGCTGCGACCTGGGGGTGCGCACCCCAGGGTCCTGCAGGACCCAGCTCTCTCTATACACCTGCTCCCCTCGTGTGGGCCCGAGTCCAGGCTGGAGCCTGTGGGTGCCCACGGGGGGCGGGTTAGCAGGGAGACTGCTCAGCCAGGGTGAGGACTTGGAGGCAGCACCTTTCTTCCCTGGCTGAGGTGCACCCAGACCCCAACACTTGCAAAGCCAGGAAGCCTGAGGGCAGACTCTGTGTGTGCACGCGTGCACGCACACACACTCACGTACACGCCTTTGCAATTGGAACTCCTTGGCCCCCAAAGCCCCCAGTCCTTTCTCAGAACTATCAAGGGTGGGTGCTGACTGCTGTGTGGGATCTGAACTGGGCTTGGTGCGCACCGAGAGAGCAGCAGCTCTTCACCTCTCGGACGATGTTACGGGCTAAGCTGCGCCCCCTAAATTCTGCCATGGTTTGAATGTCCCCTCCAGAGCTCATGTTGAAACTTAATCCCCAGTGTGGCAGTGTTGAGAGGTGGGGCCTTCGGGATGTGACTGGGTCACGAGGGCTCTGCCTCAGGAGGGGATGAGCCCGTGTGCGGGTCAGGGGCCGCCACGGAGGGGAGCTGAGGGCAGCAGGACGGGCCGGCAGTGAGCACTCGTGGCCCAGCCGCCCGGGACTACTCGGACTCCCCCCAGCGAGACGCCTCCCACCCGGTGCAGCCTCTGGGCCTCGGATTCCTCAGCCCCTGCAACTGTAAGACATGGAAGTCTTTTCTTTAACGTTAATAAAGTACTCAGTTTCTGGTACTCTGCCAAAGCAACAGAAAACAGATTAACACAAAGACCAAACCCGCAGTAACTCAGAGTATGGCTGTATTTGGGAAAAAATGTCCTTAAAGAGGTGATTATGTTAAAATGAGGTCGTGAGGGTGGCCCGAATCCCATAGGATTGGTGTCTGCATAAGAAGAGGTGACTGGGACAGACACGCGTAGAAGGATGACTGTGTGAGGACACAGGGAGAAGGTGCCCTCCAGAGAGGCTGCGGAGGAACCAGCACTGCCGACTCCTGACCTCAGACTTCCGGCCTCCAGGAGCCCTCCTGTCCTGGCCGGGCGGCCCTGTGCCCTGTGCGTGCCGCACCCCCGCCCACCACGGCCATCGCAGACTGACACGGATGGTGACTCAAGGCCAACACCTCATCTGCCTTTCAAAGGCCTGACTGAGACAAGGCCTCCCGGCAGGCCTGGGTGGGCAGAGCCCACCGTGAGAGTGGAGTTAGGGCCGGGCACACGGGAGGACTGCTTCTTGCTGGGCACAGGGGGCACTGGGCGGAGTAACACTTCCTCTGTTATTGCTATTATCTCCAGTTCCTCTGCAGCTGGAGAAAGTGCCCTCCTGCTCCTGGCTGACCAACTAGCAGGTGCCTTGGCCAGGCTTCCTGAAGATGCCAGGGCCTAGTCTGGGAGCCCAAGCTCTGGATGTGCCTCCACCCAACACTGTGTCAGGGATGTGGGGAGTGGGGCACAGAGGGGACACCAGCCACGCTTCCAGAGCCTTTCTGGGACTCTCAGTGTCAGAGGATGGCTGTGGTGGGGCGGGCGTGCAGCACAGAGCAGCCCTGACCAGGACAGACAGGTGGGGGTGGGCAGGGTGGCCAGGCACTGGGTACCTCACTCTGCACTGCAGGGACACAGGGGTTAATGCCCGAGGGACTGATCTGCGCTCCATCTTGGCAGTGGACTGCCCCCAAGGAGCAGGGGACCTGAAGGAGCCGGGGCCTGGGTGGAGCCCTCACCCATGCATGGTGACACAGCCCTGTGGCTGACTTGTCACTAGCCCACTGGAGAACGGCAAGTGCTGGCCACCAAGGCCTGGGTGCTCCCCGGCCTGCCTGCTGCCCAAGCTACACCCAGGCCCTCCTCAGCCAGTGCCCTCCCTCCACCCCGTGGCAGAGTCACGCCTAGTTCAGTGACACAGCGCACCTAGCGCCAGGGGGCAGGAGAACAGCAGGCAGCCCAGGCCTGTGCTGGGCCCGAGGACCAGCCACGTGGACACAGAGGAGTGTGGACACGGAGGGGGAGAAAACCCCAGCAGGATCCCCCACTCCCTACCCTCAGCTTAGAGCACGGCCCCTGTGACATCCCACCACGAGGGGCCCAGTGGAGGGCAGCCAAGAGAGGGGTCTAAGGCCTTCTGAGCCCTCAGAGCAGGAGCAGCCAGGGCAACGGGGACGGCTGGTCCAACATATTCTTTTACTGACGGCCATGCCCCAGAACCGCGAGTCCAGCCCAGGGCAGACCAAGTTATCACTGCCCCTCCCAGGGCCAACCTGGGGGAGGCTCCGCTGTGGGGCCTGGTCTTCGCTGACATACGCGCACCACGCCCCTCTCAGAGGGCAGCCTGTGGGGGACCCGCAGAGGTTTGTAAGGACACCATCCTCCCGCCAAAGGACCGGGTTCTCCAGAAAAGTGAGCCATTAAAACTGTTTCCAAGTCACTGAACTGCACCCAGAACAGAGATCAAGATGGTCTAGAGGAGCGACTAATGCCCGGCACCCACCAAGGCAGGACGTGTGATGTCCAGCGTCCAGCCCAGAGCACCAGCCTCACAGAGGCAGCATGACGGGAGCCCAACGAGCAGAAAAATCAGCCTGTTAAAACCGACCCAGAACGGCCCACATGTGAGAACCAGCGACAAGGACATTAATCAGTTATCATACCCAGATCCCCTACATGTGAAAGTTTGGTAGAGACATGGAAGATATAAAGAGACCCAAAACAAATCCCAAGACGTGAGAATTGTGACATGTGGAATGAATCCACTTTCCCTCCCTCCCAGGTCCTTAAAAAAGAAAAAGGAAAAAGAATCCGAAAAGGTGAAATGTGTACCAGTGAACTGCCAGATAATTCAGCTGACCTCATACACACGTGTGTAGCCCGTGAGCCAGAGGACAGAGGGGAAACAGAAAAAATATTTGAAGGAACTGGCCAAAATTTTTCCAAACTTGATAAAAAGCATTAATATAAACGCAGATTGAAGAAGATCAATGAAGACCAAGCACAAGAAACATAAAGACACATCATGATCAAATTGCTCAAAACCAGCAATAAATAAACTCTTCAGAGCAGGGATGGGGCATAACATACACAGAGGAACAAAGGTAAGAATAACACACTTCTTCCTGCAAAAAACACAAGTGAGAAGGTGGTGAGGCAGCATCTTTAACGTACTGATGGAGGCTGGACGCGGTGGCTCACACCTGTGATCCCAGCACTCTGGGAGGCCAAGAAGGGAGGATGGCTTGAGCTCAGGAGTTTGAGACCAGCCTGAGCGAGAGTGAGACCCTGCTCTACTAAATATAGAAAAATTAGCCGGGTGTTGTGGTGTACACCTGTAGTCCCGGCTACTCGGGAGGCTAAGGCAGGAGCATCACTTGAGCCCAGGAGTTGGAGGCTACAGTGAGCTATGACGATGCCACTGCACTCCAGCCTGGGTGAAAAAGTGAGACCCTGTCTCAAAAAAACAAAAAAAAAAAAAAAGAAAAGAAAAAAAAAACAAAAAGAAAAAAAAAAAACCTCGCAATAACCCAAAATTCTATAGCCCCCAAAATATTTCCAGAAACAAAGTAAAATAAGGCTGAAAAGAAATCACACCAGCAGAACCACACAGCAAGAAACGTTATACAAAGCCCTTTGGCAGACGGAAGGACACCACGAGCAAGGAGCAGCACCCCACATGGCAGCCATGAGGAGGCCCCCGGCCCAGGCCCACGTGCTGCAGGTGGGGACAACAGGGGGGGAAATGCAAGCCCCAGCGCCACGCAGAGGTGGGGATGGATCTCCTAAACCCAGCAGCTGCGTCCACTTCTCACACACACACCGCCAAGACCAGTGAGTGACACAGCACCACAGCTGTGCCCTCTGCTAAAGCACTGGTGCCACACGGAGGGGTGACCCCATGTGGGGGCACTGACGTAGGGCCCAGGGCTCCCTAGACAGCCCACATCTCTGACCCTGCAGTCCATGAGGCTGAGGGGGCCCAGACCCTGCACTCCCCTGACCCTGGCCTCGACTCTTCTCCCCACACCCACACCCAGCCTTCATTGGTGACAACCTAAGCAGGGCAGCAGGAACCCTGAGCTCACCTGGCCCCGACGACGGGCTCTCGGGCGCCCTTGGAGGCCGAGTAGTCTACGCCATAGAAGTTAAGCCCCAGGAGGATTTTGCTCCGCCACTTGGACTTGGGGTCCAGGACCTGGACGCAGGCTCGAACCCAGGACAGTGGTGCGTTAGGGCCAGGCCTGCAGGGGAGGGAGTGGGTTTCAGTAGCAGGCAGGAAACCTGGCACCTGACCATCGTCCTCGGGGACGTCCACCACGGGCGCATCCTCTGTGCCGTGGGCGACACTTCTCAGGAGTTGGGAAGGACGAGAAACAACCGGTTATAACCGGCTGTCAGCGAGGTGGGCCGGGTCCCTAGCACCTCCCACTGGGACCCACAGGGCGCCCCACACTCAGGGCAAGGCACTCGTGTCCCCAGAGTGGCAGACGGGAGTCTGTGACACATAATCTTCCGGGGCTTTCCTGCTGCACACCTGCCTGTCTACTTTGCGCAGCCCTCCGGAAGCAGTGCAGCTCAGGCTGAGGCCCAAGGAGGAGTATGACTTCTCCCGTGCCCCCGGGGACGTGGCTCCACCCCAGGCAGGGGCCCTACCAAGGACTACCTACAGGGCACTGGCAGGCATATGCTGCCTGCTCCCACCCCGTAGATGCTGGCCCAGGGGAAGTAATTTTTTGCACTGAGCCACAGAGCCCACAGGAGGGCGTCTGCCTGGGAGGCCAGGGTAGAAGCCTGCAGCTCTTCAGAGCCCCAGCCAGGCCCTCCGGTGCCCACACTCACTGCTGTGCCGTGGAGTAGTCATAGGTCATGAGGCTGAAGCCGTCCAGCACGGGGGCCAGCTGCTCAAACTCCCTGTGTGTGAACATGCCTGTCTGGTCGGTCCTGCAACGACACAAGTGTGGCAACCTCAGGCTACCACACGTGGCCCTGACCCACTCCTCCCCAATTGCTCTAATCCAGCCGTCCGCTAAGCCCAGCAGGGGTCAGAGCAAGCTGGCTGTGGGGGCTCCCGGCCCACACTCCTCCTTCCCTCCCCTCTGGGAGGACCCTGGGTCACTTTTCCCTGGGATGGGGACAGGCTGCAGCTTGGTCGGGGCCACGTTCCAGGAGCAGGTGCTGCCTGATGCCCAGTGCCACAGGGGCCAGGGCTGGAGCTTGCCCTTCCATCAGCCCTGTGGCCCTGGGGGCAGCTGTGGCCTGGGCGCCCTGCTGCCTGGCCCAGGCTACTCTCCAGGGAGGGTAGCAGCAGCTATGTCCCTTCTCTGGGACACAGCACCTTAGAGGACATCACCACCTGCTCTACCTGAACTTGTTTGGCTCATGGCTGTGCCTGGCTGGCCAATGCCCCCTTGGGGACCAACATCAGTCCCAAGCTAGCTGGTGACTGCTCTTCCTCCTGCCCGCTTGGCGCGCACACCCGAGTTCTCCGAGCAGACAGGATGTTGACGTGTCATGTGGAGAGGACACCTGGGCAGGCACACGGCCTCAGGGAGACGCTGGATGGGGGAGTGAGGGGTGTCTCGGCTCGGGAAGTGATGACGAAATTCCACAGACCGGGTGGCTTATGAACAGGCATTCATTCCTCACGGTTCAGTGTGCAGTGCGGCCGCTTCCTGGCTCACAGCCTCCAAGGTCTGCACAGGGTGGAAGAGGCGAGGGGGCCCCCTGGGGCCTCTTTTATGAGGGTGCTAATCACGTTGGTGAGGTCCCAGCCTCATGACCTCGTTACCTCCCAAAGGCCTCACCTCTTAACACTATCACCTTAGGGGTCAGGGTTCAACATATGAGGTCTCGGGGACACAAGCATTCAGACCGTAGCAAGGGGTGAAGGGGACACGGTCACAGGGCCTGGAGGCCTCTGAGAGTGAGAGGCACAAAGGAGGAATGGTGGGGAGACCTGGGAAGGAGACCCCCGAGTGGCAAGAGCAGCATGAAGTGGCTGAGGATGGGCCCCTGCAGAGCCGGGACCACCCAGGGGCGAGAGATCCAGACCCCAGGAACGCCCCCTTCCAGAGGTCTGCACCGAAGCCCCCCAGGAAAGCACAGCCAGACTCTGTGCCCCGGCCCCCAAGCCCACTCTGTCCAAGGCCTACGTGGACCTCAGCAGAGATGGGAAGGATGAGCTCTGGGAGCCAGGGACGGTGCAGGGCTGTGAGGGGACCCCCTGCCCCCGCAAGGGGAGGGGCGCCTGCTGCATGAACACCACAAGGACGGATGCTTGTGTCCCCCCAAATTCTTATGCTGAGGCCCTAACCCCCCAGTGTGATGGTGTCTGGGCGTGGGGCTCTCGGGGGTGATTAGGGTTAGATAAGGTCATGACCACAGGCCCTCATGATGGGGTTCGTGTCCTTACAGGAAGAGACACAGGAGAGATCTCTGCCATGTGAAGGAGGGCACAGCGGAAAGGTACTCACTGCACCCAGGAAGGGCCTCACCAGACCTGCTGGCCCCTGACCGCAGACTTCCAGCCCCCAGACTGTGAGAAAATCAAAGCCGCTCAGTCCATGGTACTTTGTCACGGCAGTCCACGCTGAGATAAAAAGCAGGTGGATGTCAGAGAGCGTTTATCAAGTTCCGCACAGGTTAGCAGAGCCCACCGTGATCCGATACATGGGTGACGATGTGCCCACGAGTTCCCGAGTAGACTGTCTGCGTCACGCAGCGCACGCTCTGTGTGTCTGTGAACGTGAGGCAGTGAGCTGCTGAGGCCACCGCCACGTGTGCTGGGGCTTGGCCCTGCTCTGCCTCGGACGCGCACCCAGCCTTCTCCAAGGGGGTCCCACTGCGCAGAGCCCCCGTCCACACTCCACGGCACATGGCATCCGGGCAGTCGACTCGAGAGCCTTCGTCGATTCTGTCCCAGCTTGGCTGCGCGCGAGCTGCTCTCTCCCTGTGGTTTTCACTTGTGTTCCCTTCATTGCTAACGAGGTCAAGCCTCTCTCCACTGTCCCTTGGCTACTCGGCGCGTATCCACTGCATCTCGTCTTTCAGTGTCCAGGTCTTCTGCCCAGCTCTCTCCAGGGTCACCGCGGTCTCGCCACTGCGTATCTCTGGCTCCCTCTCTCCTCCCTCAGCCAGACGCTTGCTCTTGGTCAGGGACGTGGGATCAGCATCTCTCCTGCGGGAGGCTCATCTTTCCACTCCTTTGTGGTGACTTCTGACGCGTCGACATTCCGGTCAGAGTCCTGTCTGTCTGTCGGAGCCACCGTCCCTGCTACGTGCAGTGAGGTTCTGCTTTCTAACTCGGGTCTCCACTGCACCCAGGAACGCAGCCGGCTGACTCCTTGCCTCTGCACCCTCCTCTTCAGTCTCAGTGGCAGCCCTGTCAGGAGCAGTTTCCACTCTGGGGGGCCTGTGCCCCAGCCCAACCCCTCCTCTGCGCCCACAATGCGCTTTCCAAGGTGTCCAGCTCTCTGAGCCCGTGCTTCACACGCTACTGTCCGACTCACAGCTTCCCACTATGAGCTGGTCTCCAAGCCTACATCCATGGCACCACCATGCCCCGGCCCCTCTCGTGGGCACACAGCACTGCTCAACCGTTTTCCATGGCTTCGTGGCTTCACCCACACCAGGCACTCCTGGAAGAGCTGGCTTTGCCCACAAGGCTCAGGCAGGTGTGGCCACATGCCCAGAATCTGACTTCCACCAGCCACGGAATGTGGCAAAGAAACCGTGGGACGTCCCCCACACCTCCACCGAGTCCCCAAGCAGGAAGGGGTTGCTCTGCTGGCTCCACACTGTGCCCTCAGTGCGGCATGTCCACGTGACAAGCACAGCCTGCACTGCTCCTTTCAGGTCTCACATAGCTGCTCACTGACCCAAAAACTACTGCTACAGGCCAGGAGCATCAGCTGTGGCCCAAAGACTGGGAACAGTCTTGAAGTTTTTACTTACTTATTTTTATTTTTTTGAGACAGAATCTCCCTCTGTCTCCCAGGCTGGAACCATCACAGCTCACTGCAGCCTCAACTCCTGGGCTCAAGCGATCCTCCCGCCTCAGCCTCCTAAGTAGCTGGAACTACAGGTACACACCACGACGCCTGGCTAATTTTTCTATTTTTAGTAGAGATGGGGTCTTGCTCTTGCTCAGGCTGGTCTCGAACTCCTGAGCTCAAGCGATCCTCCCGCCTCGGCCTCCCAGTGTGCTGGGATTACAGGCGTGAGGCAGAGAAAGGTGCCAGGCTGGCCCTCACGTTTTTAAAGGGCTGTAACAAAACAATAACATGCAGACGCTGCCCAGAGACAGGAGGTGCCTCCCAGTGTGGTGCTCATCAACGGGAGGGAGGGATGCTACCAGGCTCTACCTACCCTTGTCCACCTGGCTCTGGCCCTGCGGACCCGCTGGGAATGTGGTGCCCCCTCTTCCACCTGCGAGGAAGACCACCTCTCCCCAGAGCTGTTTGTCTCTGACCCGTGGCATCCGGACAAGAGGGAGGTCTACACAGTCGAGAGACGCAAGAACAGCTTGTCACGGATTAGGCACAGCGTGACTTCCGACGAACAGGCTTCGCTGCTCACGCAGAAAACCTCGGGCTCGGAATTCACTTCTGAGGAAAGAAACCCGAGGAGGAAGGAGAACAGGAAAACAAACGTGTCACGGGCAGCCCCCCACATCTCAGGTGGGCCCCAGGCAGGTGGCAGCAAGAAAAGGAAGTGTCCACTCAGCCTCTGACCCGGCTCCACACTTTGCTTCTGCGTTGCTAAGCGCTGTGACAGCGTGCTCTGCGCCCTCAGGCCTGGGGGGTGGCTGCCCAGCCGGCTGCCGCACACCCTCTGCCACGAGCCACCTCTTCCTTCCAGAAAGTGGGACTGGAACGACACCCTGGGCAGGGGCCTGGCCAGGTCTCTCCAGCCACATGGGCCTCTTCACCCCAAGACCCCGCAGCTGCCAGCGGGGAAAGGTGTCCAGGCAGCCTCCAGAACAGTCTCCTCCAGACACCACAGGGCGCCCCGCCCTCCTCCCACCTCTCCGCTCCTGCGGCAGCACCACCTTCTCCTGCGTTCTACTGCAGACTCCCCCATCCCCCAACCCTCTGTCCCCCGGCCCCACATGGGGACGCCTCCCCATCCCGTCACCTGACTGGCCACCATCTCTAGACAGCGTCTGCATCATTGAAGGGTCAACACGAGGCAGGAGGACACAGGCTCCATGTCACCCTGTCCCCTCCTCCCCCCAAGCCGAGACCTCACCTTCCTGCCCCGTAACCCCTGGGGTCGTGTCACTGGTGTCTCAGTCTCCATCTGCCCCAGACTCATCTCCCTGCTGCTGACCAGGGGTTGAGCCCAAGCTCGTCTCTGACCGGGTGCCCTCCAGGCAGACTTGGTAGGGATGGCCCCGGCGTGGCCCACAGTGACCAGTCCCTGCCAGCGACACCACATCAGTCCCCATCCCTAACAGAGACGTGGTGTCACTGTCCCCACGATGTGCCCACTCCAGGGTGCCCACCCCCAGCAGCCAGCGCCCACACCTGCTCCCCTTGCCCTGTAGGCTCAGGGAGTACCCCTTCCAAGGACAGCGCCGCCATCTGGGGGACATCTAGGCAGCTCCCCTACCCTTCCACACTGACCTATCAGAGGCTTCTGAACCTGCTCCTCATGGCCCCAGGTCGCCCGGGCCCTGCCTGCTACTGTAACCCTTCTTTGCCCAGCGCCTGGAGGATCTGCGCACCCACCCCCAGCTCCAGGAGAGGGGCCACCCACCCACAGTGGGGCCACAGACACAGGCCTGGAATCCGGCCTGCAGAGCAGGCAGCCTGTCGGCCTTGCCCAGCTGCAGCCCGACTGAAGGGCTGAGAGCCCTGGGAAGTTTGGGGAGAAAGGTGGGGTGAGAGGCCAATACCCAGGTTGTACAAAGGGCCCTCGGCATCCTAGAGGCTGGAACAGAAAACCACCAGCTGCCTACACAGCCCAGGGCTGAGGGCCCAGGGTGGGTGGCCAGCCAGGTGTGTGCCGCCCTTTTGTGCAAGTCTGTCTGTCCGCACCCTTGGGGCCCTGTCACCACCTGCCGCTGCCACTGGAGAGAGACAGAAGTCCGTGGAGGTGAGGGAGGGGCTGGCTGCTCCCTTCCTGAGTGGGAGGCTGGGAGCTCATCATTCCCGAGGGGTGAAAACTGCCCCTCGGAAGTTGGTGTACACTGGGCTGAGCCCTGGGACTCCCACCCCGATGCCCTGGGATGCCCCAGCCAGCCCTTCCACCTGGCCTGCTCCTGTCCACTGGGCCCCCAGGTCTGTTCTGGGTTCTCAGGTCATGACTTGGAGCCCTCTCTGTGCCCAGCACAGCTGAGACCCTCCTGGCTCCTTGTGCCTGGTCACTGTGCCCAGAAGAGCCGCCCTGCAGGGCTGGGAGGGCTGAACGAGCCCACTCACAGGAGAGGCCCGGCCCAGCCAGTGGCCCCTGGACGGTGGCAGCCGTACCCCACCTTGGCCTAATCTCCCGCAGAAACAACGGGTGTAAATTCAACCTGAAGCACCAAACGCCCTTGAGCTCCAGGGCCTCTACTAAGAGTCATGCTGATGGTGAGTTTAAAAGACTTCAGTTCTCAAAAAAAAGGATGTCTCAGCATAGTCTTCAAATATGTTTGGGCTGAGAGACATTGTCTTCAACCACTAACAGGGAGAACGTGGGAGGCTGGTTGCAAAGGGACCCCCAACCTCTGGGTCACACACCCTGTGTGTGCAGCAGCCACAGCTTCTACAGACGGGGCCAGGTGCAGTTTGTGTCGACCAGATGAGCAGAGACGGCCTGGGCCCCGAGCCACCACCCTGCACTGTCTGCCCTGCAACCCCAAAGCCCTTGACACCACTGAAAGAGAGAGAGAGAGAGAAGGGCTGTGTGGCACTTACTCAGGTGTGACAGCAGGCGGGATGGCCAAGATGACCAGCAGCCGGGCCTGGTGCAGCGCTTCGGCCAGGTGGGTGAGCATGTGGATGAGGCCCCTGAAAGAGCCGAGACGTGGGGTCAGCAGCGCTGGCGCCAAGGCTCCACCCGGAGCCCCGTGGGGCTCCTTGACACCCATGGCCTCGGGGATGGGGTGAGGCTGGTCCTCAGCCTGACACCCTGCTGCAGGGAAGGCAACAGCCCCTCTAGGAAACTTCCCACCCCACTCTGAGTGTGGTCCCAAACGACAGACGCCCATGCACAAGCAGCCCTGTGGACCCCGTGAAGGGGTCTGGGGATAAAGGACTCCCTCTGCCCTACGGGGCCCATCTACAACCTGGCTAAGCCTGCCCTTCCTACGCTCCAGGGTCCCCCTAGAGTAGGAGCCTGTCAGTACCCCGTGGGCTCCCAGAAAGAGCTCCCCAAACGACCAGAGACAGAGCCCAGCGCAGCCACTAAGCACAGTAGGTGAGGAAGGGCCCTAGCAACCCAGGGCACTTGAGACCCCGTCCTCGCCAGGCCCAGCATCAGCTCTGCAGGTGGCAACATGGGCACAGTCCTCGGCAGGTGGCAGAGCCTCGGGGCAGTCCGTCCTCATGCCTCGGCGCTGGCACCTGCACCCAGAACTCTCTGGGTGCCAAAGGCTGTCATATACCCGAATGCCACTTAGAGGTGGTGGCCAGGAGGGGTGCTGCCCGTGTTCCGAAACACCGGAGCAGAGCGAGGCGTGCCCAGGTGCTGAGGAGCTCAGGAAGCTGATGTCACCTGGGGGACCCTCCCATCTAGCCTGTGGGCTCCCACGACTGTCCCGAGGACCACATCAGACCTGAGGGCCAAAAGGTGCCCACGGCCACTCTGTGAGGGCCCCAGGGTGGATGTGGGCTGTGGTGGGTGCTGGTGTCACCCAGAGCACACTTGGGACAGGCCCCTTGAAGCCCCTAGCAGCTGGCACTGGTGGCTCCCAAGGGCCCACATCACAGCTGCTCTGGCACGAGGACAACCCTAAGGGGTTGCCCCCAAGCTCAGGAGGAACCAGAGGTGGCAGTGTCCCTGTAGGCAAACCTGCCCACGTCCAGCCTCAGGCCTGGCACACGGGGAGGCTCACAGGCAGCAGAACGCCCAAAGGGATCTGTCAGACCAGCTGGTCTCTGCTGCTCAAGAACCCGGATGCTGCCCCCACCCCACCGGCAGTTGCCCACCTTCTCTCCAGGGCCTGCACTCAAGGGGCCCTGCAGGTGGCTCCCACCTCCTTCCCCCACCCCCACCCCACGTTAATGACCCCTCAGGAGTCACATCCAATGAGGCCGTGTCTCACTGCACCCCTGGCCCTCCCGCCCAGACACGAGAGTGTGTCTCACTGCACCCCGGCCCTCCCACCCAGACACAACGCGGCTGTCTCAGGAGGGCGGCCCTTTGGTGCCATCTCACTGCCTACTTAATACTGTGAAATGGAAACGAATTATAGCAAATCTCTGATTAATAGCTCTGTTCTCCCAGGATTAGTGGGAAAGATGAGACCTGGTGGAGCCTGTCTCCTGCTCAGAGGGACCACTCCCTCAGAGGGTACCAGAAGGTCAGCCCCAGCAGGACTCACCCCCACTGTCCCAAGTCGGGGCCTGCCTGGGGTTGTCTCGCCAAAAGTGCGGGGCACCTTCAGGCCAGAGCTAGGGCCCCTTGGGGAAGTGTAGGCAAAAGAGTCCCCACAGACCTGGGGACTTCGGCCTTCCTCCCCTGCTGGGCCCTCCTGGGGTGCAGGTGGGCAGAGGAGACGCTTCACAAACAGCCTGCAGGGGCGCGTCAGGCGGGCCTGGCTGAGGGTGGTGCAGGCGTCTGGGCACCGGGAAGCGGGACTCCAGGCCTACGGCAGGGAGTGTTTCCGGGCAGAGTCCCAGGCTGAAGCCTCCTGGTGAGGATGGTCTGAGGCCACTGTAGATCTGAGCTGGCCCAGTGGGGCCGGAAGCCGTAGCAGGCCTTGGCCAGGAGGAGGCTGGCAGCTGGAGGCTACCCCCAGCCTGGCACACTGGGCTCCAGGCACAGCTTCCACTGGCCCCGGGGGATCCTATTCCCCTGCCCCCTGCCACAGGGCTACAGTCAATGACGCACCTCCCTCCCTCGGCAACACAGGATCTGTGTGGGGACGCTGCCTCCGCGTGGGCAGAGCCGAGACCTGCAGCTCTTCTGCCTGCGGCAGCCGCAGAATGGACAGTGACAGAGGAGGGACATGGGGACCCTCGCTCTTCCCCTCTGGGGCAGGCACGGGCCTCGGGGCACAAGGGGAACTCCTTCAGGTGGGAAAGGGCAGGGCGGTCGATTCCAGAACTCTCAGCTTGCATGGGGCTGAGGAGCTGGGCAGGGGCTGCAGGCCTCTGGGCTGCTCCACCTCCCCCTGCCTGGACGCCTGGGACAGCACCAGACCCCACCTGGGCAGAAGAATGGCCCCTCTGCCCCCTTCTGCAGGGCAGACACCTCACTTCAGCAGAGCTAGAGAAGGTGGATGGGCCGGAGTGCTTGAGCAGGACACAGGAGAGGCTGGCTCTCAGGGCCGAGGCCAGGCCTAGGCTGGACTAGAGACGCTGCCGGCACTGCCCTCACTCCCTCCTTTCCTGGCCACTCTGGTCAAGGAGAGTGGGAACCCACGAGTGTCGGGGTAGGCTGGGCGCCCACGTGGCAGGGAGGAGGCCTGAGGGAGCATGTGGCCACCTCCCTGTGGGCCACGACAGCGTTGTCCAGAGGATGTCATGGCGGTCCACCCCACAGGTCCTGGCCGCGCCAGGCTGGCACCTTCTCGACATCCCTAGAAGGCTCCTTCACGCTTGGTGAGGAGGTTTCTGCCTACGCCCAAGCCCGGCCTCTGCTACCACCGTCCAGGCAGCTCCCTCCCTCTTGCCGAGTCCTCGTGGCGAGGCTCCTTACCTCCCTTCACCACCCATAGGAAGTGTCGGGGCCAGCCGCCTGCCCCACGGCCACACTCGCTCCTCTGAGGTCTCCATCCTCACCCCAGGTGCAGGGCTGTGGGAGGAAGGCCCTCCCAAACGGGGCTCCCTGTCCCCTGTCCTTTCTCCAGCCTCCTCCAAACACTGGGGCCAGGGGCCGGGGGAGCAGCGAGTAGCCCCACCTGCCCCACCAACTCACACGTGCTTCTGGCTCAGCAGCTGGCTCCAGACCTCCACCACGAAGCCGTCAAAATGCTGGTTCTGAAAGAAACAGGAGCAGGTGAAGAGGACCTGGAGGCACAGGAGGATGGTGGAAAGACAGACACAGAGCGTACCACCTCTGCCCACCCGGCCAGGTCACGGACCAGTCCACCCAGTCACTCACGAGGCAAGCCCCAAGCCCGTGCTGCACACCCAGAAGTCCCTGCCTGCAAGAGGCAGCATGGTGGGGTCCCCACAGGAGCTGGGAGCAGAGGGGCCAGGGCTCCATGCCTCCCCCACCCCACCCCTAGGGGCCTGAGGGCTCTCCCCTTCTGCAGCCCAGATGTCCCAGCAGCCTGCAGGGATGGTCTCCTCCCAGGAGGGCAGCAAGCAGCTGGGCCTTGCCTTGGGAAACACCCAGCACACAAGTCTCCCACCCTTGGGACCTGTGGGGGCCAAAGAGAGTGAACAGTGGCCTGAGTGGGGCTGACGCTGTCCTCCCTGAAGAGTGGGCTGCACCAGAAAGGCCCAAGGAGCAAGCCAGCCAAGAGGAGCCAAGTGCTGGCCCTGTTGGAGCCCCCGCCGGGGGCCGGGGAGCGGCTGATGGAGCCCTGCCTGTGCTCAGAGGCCTGAGGCAGCGCATGGGTCTCACCTTTGCCACCTGCACCATGGTCCTGCTGAGCTCCTCTATCTCATCCTCGCTGTCCAGGACGCTCCGGAAATCCTCGTACGTCCAGTCCTCAAACAGAAGCCGGGGCACTGGGCAGGGTACAACATGCACAGAAGCTGTGGCTGGGAACACCAACTGACCCTCCCCTGCTTGCCCTCCCCAGAGGGCATCCCCTTGGCCTCCTGAGTGGAGCGAGACCACCGAGTGACAGGTGGGGAAGCCTGAGGGGAGCCCTGCAGCCTGGCGGCTGGCGAGGGAGGGATTGGGGATGGAGTGAGGTGGCGCTGGCCGCCCTTCTGCCCCACGCCCGCCCTCCCCAGGCCCCACTCAGGCCTGCCACCTGCCACCTGCTCCAAGGCAGCCCTGCAGCCTCTCCTTCAGCCTGCTCCCCAATTCCTAACCCACTGCCCAAGGCTGCTCCTGAACATGGGGACATGTGTTCCCACCTTGCCAGCCAGCCACAAGCTACGGGGGCACAAATGGGGCAGGGTTAGAGCCACCCTCAGGTTGAGGTCAGAGCCTGGCCCCAGCTGCTTGGATGACATTTGTCAGGTGAAGGGAGGGAAAAACAGGAGGCAGAGCAGCCTGGCACAGCCGCTGGCCAAGGCAGTGCTGGCCTTGGTGGGCTATGGCCTGGGTGGGAGGGAGAGCCCGTGAATGCAGGCCGGGGCCAGCCTCGCCTCGGAGCAGCTGGAGGAATAACCTGTGCTTGAGCAGCACAGCCTGGACGGCCAGGAACATGAGAAGACCCCGGCCCACTTGCCCAGCCACAGGGAGGTCAGAGGTCATGCCACCTGGGCCTCCATCCCATGGCTGGGGCCATTTCCAGCTCCCAGGCCTACTGGACTTACCTATGCGCAGGCCCTTGGTGTGCTTCCTGACAGCCCGCATCCACCCTGTGGGACACGGAGGGGACAGTTAGCACAGGGGCATGTGTCCTGCCAGCAGACCTGGCCCCTCTGAGGAGGAACATGCAGCAGCAGGAAAGGGGAGGGGAGGCTGACTGTGAGAACCCAGCTCTGCCCTGGCCCTGGGGCAGCCCTGAACGCCACCCCTCCTGGTCCCACACCCCTCATCCTCCTGGCCTGCAAAGCAGCTCTGAGCTTGCCCTCCCTGGGCTGGGATGCCTCAGAGCCCATGGCTGGCCTGGGGGACAGGTCACCCCAGGGGCCTGGGGAATGTCAGGGTGTTTCTGTGAGCTGAGGGGCAGTCGGAACCCACCAAGCCCTGACATTTGCCAACACACTTGTCTCCCCACAGTTCTTTCAACATCAACACCAGGAAAAATCACTCCTGGTCTTGGAACTCGCCAACTGGCCAATACCTCCCCTGCTACTCTCTCTGTCGGAGACCGAGCGTGAGGCTCAGCTTTGTGACCTCGGGCACATGCCGCCGGGATGTGCCATCAGCGAATAGCCCCCCACCCTGAGCCCCACCCCCCTGAACATCACTAGGGGAGGAACAAAGGAGGGGGGCCAGCGGCCTGTGCCCAGAGGCTGCTGGAGTTGTCTCGGAGGCCGCCCTGCACACATCTGTGCACAGTGTGGACGTGTAAGGGAAGGCCCCTCTCACGGCCACCTGCACCACTGGGGCAGAGCTGGGTGTGGGGAAAATGTAGGGTCCCCACCACATGACAGGAAAACTGTGCCAGTCTGGAATGCTCAGCAAAACTGCTACGAAGCAGATTAAGCAAATACCAAGATAAGTACCGGGGGTGGGGAGCCCAGCGCTTTCTTGCCTTGAAGCAGCTGGCTCTGACCAGTCCCAACTGCTTTAGCTGTCCTCCAGGGCAGCGGTCCCCAAACTTTTTGGCACCAGGGACCAGTCTCATGGAAGACAATTTTCCACGGACGGGGTGGCAGGGCGGGGTTGGTTTCGGGTTGTTTCAGTTGCTTTTTTTTTTTTTTGCCTTTTTTTTCTTTTATTGTTACATTGTCACTTGCCACTGATGGGGTTTTGATATGAGTCTGCAAGCAACTGATTTATATGGTCTCTGTGCAGTCAAACCTCTCTGCTAATGACAATCTGCATTTGCAGCGGCTCCCCAGTGCTCGCATCACTGCCTCAGCTCCACCCCCGATCATCAGGCATCAGGCTCTCACAAGCAGCCACAACCTAGATCCCTCACACGCATAGTTTACAGTGGGGTCTGTGCTCCTATGAGAATCTAATGCCACCGCTGATCTGACAGGAGGTGGAGCTCGGGTGGTGATGCAAGCCACGGGGAGCGGCTGTAAATATAGATGAAGCTTCGCTTGCTCACTCACTGCTCACCTCCTGCTGTGTCGCCCGGTTCCTAACAGGCCACTGCCCAGGACTGGTCCGCACTCGGGGGCTGGGAACTGCAGCTATAGCTAACAGTGACACTAAAATCCCCGCCTAGTGGAGAACTGTAATATTATTAACATGACGGGTTGTATGATGGTGCATGGCGATGGCTCTGTGAACGTGTGTGATTTGTTTCATTGTGAACACGTGACGACACATCGCTCGCTGGGAAAGGACTGAAGGCAACACCACACCTAACTGCCCAAGCCGGACTTGTCTGAGTCATTCTAAGGCCTCTCAGCTCCTCAGCTCAATGGGTGGTTTTTCTATACCATCCTGGGATTTTCCCGAAACGCTGGCTGAGACATCGACCTGGCCCTGCAGAAGGTCCCACGGTGGGGACCACCTCTCCAGGCCCTACTTGTGTTCCCATCCTGCACACTAGCCCGCACCATGGGACGACTCTGCGCTCGGCCATGCAGGGTGAGAGCTCAGGCCTTCAGGTTGTCACACGCACGTCACATACACAGTCTCACTCATACACACACCCCCACACTCACACTCACACTCTTCATGGCCCTTAGGACAAGCACAGACAAGCAGGAAGGACGAGAACCTTGGTCCACGTCGTGGAGGCCCGTGACCTCAAACATTTCACGGCCACGTCTCTTTAGCTGCAGCCAGACTGGCGAGATATGCGTGAACTTGCTCCCAAACACCTTGGTGACATCGTAGCCATGGCTGTTCCACTGGCAGAGGAAGGAGATGTCAGACAGAGAACAGGTGAGCATGAATCTCCCTCACCATGGTGCTGCCGCTCTGCCCGCTCTGGACGTACCCAGGACCAGCTGGCCAGTATCGACAGCCTTTTGGCCTGAGCTGACACCAGGCCCCTGCCTGGGGTGCCCTTCTCCCACTCTGGTCTGCCTCTCACAGCCTGGGATCCAGGCCAAAATCCCCTTCACCAGAAGTGATAGGAGGTCCTCTTGACGAGCCCCTCTCTGAGCCAGAGCACATGCTGTTGCTGCTGGCTGCTGAGGCCAGATGGCTCGACGGCCCTCCTCTGGACTTAGGGCACCAACAGGGTCACCTGCTGCCATGAGCAGCGAGCCCCTGGAGAAACCCCAGTACCCTTCACTCTGACATCTCTAGTATGGCATCCCTCCCACTGTGGTTTCACAGCTGTGGCAGCTGGAGAGATCAGAACAAGACCCCATCACTGCCTGGCCGGCCTGTCACAGAGGCTGGGGCGACGTCCAAGCCTCAGGACCTCCCTGTGCACCTCGAGGGCTCCGACCTACTGGAGTGACGTAGCCCAGCACATCTCCAGCAAAGTGTCTATCTCGGGCTCTCGCTGAGCAGTAGCTGCGATGCTCGAGAACCACGTCCTCGGCTTTGAGGTCCGTCACCACCAGACCCCGATCTTGGACGGGCTTATCTGAAAACTGACTCTGAAATAAAAAGAAAGGGCAAGGCCATCAGTCGCCCGTCCTCGGTGCAGAACACAGCACCCTAAGCAGCAGCAAGAAGTCCTTTTCATTTGGCCAGCGAGCGTGTCTCCGCGTCAACAGGGTTGCTGACCTGTAGACATGGCAGGCGCTGACGTTCAGAAGGCTCTGGCCATCAGAGAGCGGACAGTGGCCGACTGTGGGGGCCGTTCCCACCCTTGCTCTGGGCTGGAAGGCAGGCAGGGCCTATGGCGGCTCCCTCCACTCACGTGAAGATGGACAGTCAGCACCAGCTCTGGCAATTTGGAGCTCAGCTGGGCACCCCAGGACCACACACAGTGCTGGTCAGATCAGAACATGCCACCTCACTGGCCAACTGCCACCTGCCACCTCTTTCCCAGTGAGTCTTCTCATGCCCTGTGAACATAGCTCCCCCTACCCTGCCTCCGCTCCTTGAAGCCCTCCACCTGGTTCCCCACTTCCCTGTTCTGTCTACACCCAGGGCCTGGCTGATCCTCCCCTTGACACCACCCACTCCCTGGCCTGGCCCCACAGGGCCTCATGAAGGACAGAAATGCCCACTGCAGGTGTTCTCTGCCCTGAGGCAGGACAGAGAGTGTCTGTCAGTCTAGGACTAGGTTCCTGTGACAACTCTGGCCGGTGGCATGGTGATTGCTGGGGCTGAGGGGTAGGTTCAGTGGGGACCCACCCTTGAGTTTACAATCCCCGGGACCATCCCAAAATAGCAGAAAGACCACAACGCAAACACAGCTAATGGCCATGAATATTAAAGAGGCAATGATGATGGTGGCATGAGGGTGCAGGTGTTGAAAGCAGGTGGAAGGTGGAAATAGGCACAGAGACGGGCGGGGGGCAGGTGGGGATGCCAAAGAACCAGCCACCGACCCTCAGAATCCGGCTCCAGAAGCTGCTCACTCAGAGACACACAGACCACCCGCCTGCCTGCCCACAGCTGGCTCAGCAGTCCTCTGTGTGAGCAGCCAAGCCCCCCAGGTCCCCAGCCCCCCAGCTCCCAGGTCCCAGCAGGCAGGAGGGAAAAGAGTATGAGGGGTCAGCCCTTGGCCAGTGTGGTCACCTCAAGTCCCCAGGCCACCCCCACCTTCTCCAGCAGTGTCTTTGAGGCAGCTTTTTTGGCATCTGACTTTGACAGGGTAGCGTCAACGGAGCCGCAGGCCAGAACAAGCCACAGGAGGTTCAGCAGTTTCTGCATGGTGCGTGTATCACAGCAGGGTCCAACCTCCGGCTCCAGGGGGCTGTAGGGAGAGCAGAGCACATGGAGACACTCAGCAGGGAAATGCAGCGTGGGCAACCCCTCTGCTGATGGGAGCACTTTCTCCTCACAGAGCCTGGGTCCCCACAGCTCCAGGACGGGCCTTGGCCACTGGGACAGAGCCCTGCAGCTGGAGTCCCTTCTCCAGAACTTCTGCCCTCCCTCCCCCACAGCTGGACCACCAGCTTTCGGACACCAAGAAAGGAGCTTCCTCACTGCTGGCCACAGAGCCCTGTCCCCAGTGCCCAAGGCTGCCCTGATCACTGCTGGCCATCTGGGAAAACATTGGTTCCCATCTCCCCTCAAACCCAAAGAAATCCTGGCCATGACAGGGCTTAAGTGTTAACAATGGAGCCACAGAAAGTACTAGACGAAAATATGGATATCTATTTATGTAATCTAAGGGTGGAGAAGGCTTTTCCAACTGTATCAGCAACAGGAGAGATTATGAAATAAAATACTCCTAGAGTTTACTATGTAAAAACATAAAACTTTCATTTAGGAAACAAAAAAGCAAACTTAAAGAAAACAAAGCCCCCAAAATATTTGGAACATACTTGACGATGGATTTCTATCCATAATCTATCCATAATATGCAAAGACATTTTACGAATCAAGCATAAAAGACAGGGCTGAGGTGGGAGGATCTCTTGAGGCTGGGAGTTCGAGACCAGACTGGGTAACACAGTGAGACGCTGTCTCTACAAAAAATTAACAAATTAGCTGGGTGTGGTGGCACGCGCCTGGAATCCTTGCTTGGGAGGCTGAGGCAGGAGGATCACTTGAAGCCAGGAGTTTGAGGCTGCAGTGACCTATGACTGCACCACGGCACTCTAGCCTGGGCACTGAGCAGGACCCTGTCTCAAAAAAAAAAAAACCAACAAAAACCAAAAAAACAACAAATGGAAGAATAAGACAGACATTCCAATAAAAAATGTCCCACTACAAAAATAAGAAAGGGATGGGGCCAGATGTGGTGGAGGGAGGCAGAGGTAGGAGGATCGCTTGAGGCCGGTAGTTTGAGACCAGCCTAGGCAACATAGCAAGATCCCATCTCTACAAAAAATTTAAAAATTAGCAGGGCGTGGTAGTGCATGCCTGTAGTCCTAGCTACTTAGGAGGCTGAGGCAGGAGGATCACTTGAGCCCAGGACTTCGAGGTTACAGTGAGGAGTGATCACTGTACTCCAGCCTGGGTGACAGAGATCCCAACTCTAAATAAAAAGAAAAAAAGAAAGGGATGAGAAGAGGTATGAGAGCCCCAGAAATGAGCAGCTAAACCAACTTCGCCAGTGATCAAAGACGGTAAAGCTGGAACAAGACAGAGTCCTCACCCGAGTGTTAGGATTCAAGAGAATGAAGACATTGTGAGGACCAGGGCAAAGCATCTCTCCACAGCTGTTGGTGGGGATTCAAGTTGGGAAAAGCTTTTTGGATAAAAATCTGGTCATACTCCTGGAGGCCAAGGCAGGTGGATCGCTTGAGCTCAGGAGTCCGAGACCAGCCTGAGCAAGAGCGAGACCCTGTCTCTACTAAAAATACAAAGAAATTAACTGGACAACTAAAAATATGTAGAAAAAATTAGCCGGGCATGGTGGTGCATGCCTGTAGTCCCACCTACTCGGGAGGCTGAGGCAGGAAGATCGCTTGAGCCCAGGAATTTGAGGTTGCCGTGAGCTAGGCTGATGCCACGGCATTCTAGCCCAAGCAACAGAGCGAGACTGTCTCAAATTAAAAAAAAAAAAAATACAGCCCTGGAGGGAGGTTGACCAGGAAGCTCCCCCACCTAGGAGGCAGGGAGCCACAGGACAGCAGGGCAAGTAGAACAGCACCCAGTAGACGGAGCCTCGGGCAAAGGCAGCCAATGCTGGAACTCCGAGGGGCCGGGACAGGGTGGGCATCAAATTCAAGGGAAGCCACCTGCTGCCACCTCACCCCAGCCCCACCATCTTTCTGCTGCAACTGTGAGGCTTGGTCGGCAACAGCCCAGGGGAAGTCGGGGGAATTCTGGCCACAGCACAGGGTGGGCGGGCCAGAATCTCCATCTTGCCTGGCCAGACTGAGGCTGCAGCTACCTCAGCTTCCAAGAACCCCATCTTTGACTCCGGCCCCTTCCCCTTCCATGACCACAGGCTCATTCTCTCTCCTCTGGGCGGAGAGCTAGGTCACAGAGGAAGGAGGAGGAGAAACCAAACAGGAGGGTGGTCCTCCAGGGACATGGTCTAGGAGTACCCTGAGTGGCACCTGTGTCCAGCCACCAACTGCAGGGTTGGGTCTCTGCCACCACCTGCCATCCTGCAGACTTGACACAGGGCCACTGTCCATCCACCTAAAGGCCCATCTGCCTATGACCTCCCTGACCCATGACGTCACACCTCAGGGAAGGAAGGAGGAGGCAGGGTGGAGGGATGGGGCTGATCTGGGCATGTGGAAGAGGAAGATGGTCCTGCCAGCTTCTGCTTCTGGCAGAAAGGGCACCGAACCAGAACCAGACTGAGCACAAAGCTGGGGCTGGTACTGCCACCGACCGGCTGCACCCGGCAGGCCGGCTCTGGGACGAAGCACTTGGACATGTGGCTGCTCGTCACTGACGAAGGAACTGCCAGACGACTGCCCCGGGGAGAGGATGCAAGTACGATGCATGCGGGGCACTCATGCTGGCAGACCCATCTGTGCCTCAGCACCCCCATGGCCCCCCACTGCCCAACCTGCTCTAAGGCCCTTGAGGGCAGACCCTCTACCATGTTCCTCACACCGCACAGACGCCCGGGCTCACGCACACCATGTCCTTGCATCAGAACAGGTTTCTTCCCCAGACACCAATGAACAGCCCTGAACAGAGGGGTGTGGTGTGTGATGACAGGGCACGGTGCCACCCTGGTCACCTGCAGGGGGTCTCGAACCTGCTCTGTGACAAGCTACTGGCTGAGAGCCCAGCATTCCCGCCACCCCAGGGCTCCCAGGCCCGCAGCTCCCGAGGGCTGTCTCTGCGGTGTGGATGGAGAGTCCGGGCAGATGTCTTTCAGTGACCCACACAGAGAAACGCACTTCGCTTTGCGGCCCAGCACACGTGTGCACGCGTGGAGCGGAAGCAGCTGACCAGAGCTATGGCTGCTCTGCAATGGACGCTCTGACGACGTCTATCCTGTTTTCACGAGCTGGGTTTTACCCCTCAGACTGACCTCGCGCTTCCGGAACTTGCGATTTGAACGCTGACTGATGAACCGAGTGTCTGTCATCAAGGACACCAGCTGGCTCCCTCGGCTGACGTTCTCATTAACGCACGTGCTGTTCTTACAGCGCGAACAGGGGTCGCTACGAGCTCTCACCTTTGCGCACAAGTTTTGGAGCCAATTGTGTTGCTACGGTGAGGAGCGGCTCGGGCCGGGCCACCCACCCAGCACCTGGACCCTCGCCCTCACCTGGAAGACACCTGCCCACCCGCCTGGCGCCCTCCTGCCCTGAGCCGGTCTGGGGTCCCCGGAACCGATGGCCACCCCTCTGCCAGAGCCGCACCCACGCGCTCCGCTCCCGCCTGCGCCTCAGTCACACTAACTTGTCTGCACGCGCGCGTGCGCCCTCAACTCTCACTCGCTCGCACGCTCAGGGCACCCCTTCCCTGTCCCTGTGAATACCTGCCTCCACGCTCCCGCCACGCCGCCCGCACGGGGCTGCCACGCTGGCCTGCGCTCGCCTTCACACGCTCACCTGCGGTCTCACTCCCTTTCCCACACACCCCCTCGCACACACTCGCCCTCTCACACCTCACCCCCAATACACCCGCCCTCACACGCTCACACCCGCTCACACCTACACTCCCACCCTCGCACACACCCGCCCTCCCATGCTCACACCTGCTCACACTCCCCCCTCGCACACACTCGCCCTCTCACACCTCACCCTCACATGCTCACACCCGC